GGACGCCTCGTTGGTCTCGCATCAAGATCGCATCGACGAACTACTGGGTCAGCTTGCCGTGGCCAAGATGGCCGCCAGCAGCGCCCAGCCTCTTCACGAAGCGACGATCGAGACCAAGGACGAGACCATTCGCTGCATTCACGTTGACCGTGACGATGGCATCCAGGAAGCAAAGATGCACAGTGGTGTTGTCGACGCACTCGACGCTGCAGCAACGACTACCGATCGCAGCCCAGCAGCCGCCGAAGCCGTGTTGACAGAAGCCGAGGACGAGCTCATGCAAGTGCTTTAAGTCGCTCGAAACCTGGTCCAAGCCACAGTAGCCGAATGCCAAGAGAGCCTGGCGACAAACGAGGCCGCAATCAGTCGCCACGAAGACGCCTACGATGTGCGCCACCACCACCCGCGCATCTCGGTGCATCGAGTCGACAGGCCTGCACGATGGTAGCAAAGACCCGATATGTAGAGCAGTGATGCGCAACCTAATCCACAATCAATACAAAGAAATGACACAAAACCATTCACGCAACATCCATACGCGAGTAAACCGAGTGATCCAATGTAGGCGCGTGATGTCAGTCGGTTCCTGGTTGCTGCAGCCTTCTCGTTGTGCAAGCTCGTGATGCTGCATCCTAACCCGCGCAAAGCTAGGACATCCAAGGAACGTGAAGCTGGCACTTGGTGTTGGACCACCACCAAGTGCGACAACAGTCGGTATCGGCGCGAGCGTCTTGTGCTGATCATGGCACCTTTTAGTTTGTGAGCCCACGACCCACCGTGCATACATGACAAGCTTGCTTGCAGGGACCTACCAAATGCATACTTGGCCACTCGCGTCGAGTACCCCACGCATACACTCAGTTGCTTTGCCGACGTTGCTTCAGCTCATCGATGCTCGTCCACATCTGGTCGTGCAAAGCAAATCTGGTCGTGGAAAGCAAATCTGTCTTGCACCAGAATCATGTCCACGCTCCGTACCTGGTCGATCTGAGCTGTCGTTGTGATGGGAATCACCGTGGTAGAAGGCGGGCGGGCGCGTCCGATTGGCCAGCGCGCAGTTGAAGTGGCGCAATAGAAAACGAATGGCCAATTCCGTATACAAATCATATGATACAAAGTGTGAATTAAATACTTCTGCCACTCAACATTCGAGTATCCTAGCAGCAGCCAAGAAATAATGCTCAAAACGCTCACAACGTGCCCAGGGATGTGGTGCATTGCCAGCGGCGACGACGACGACAACCTCGCTGCGCTCAGCCGCTCGCAGCGTACGCGCCCTCGGCGTCCACTGGCTTCAATGCTCCGTAGGCTACATCAACGGCGCCAAGCCTCGCCGCATCGTGCTCGGCGCCGTCGAGCAAGCGCCGCTGTGGGAGGACGACGACGTTGCTGACGCGTGCTCGACCTGCAACGTCGAGTTTGGTCTCTTCCACCGCAAGCACCATTGCCGCGCTTGCGGCGACGGTACGACGAATACGACGAATACGCCATAGAAGGCCCATGCATGCTCTAGTTGTATGCGGCACCTGCGCGAGCGGGTTTGAGAAGATCCTCAAGTTTAGCATCACGACGCCCGTGCGCATCTGCGCTGGCTGCTTTGCGTCCGTCGTGCGTGAGAACGAGTTCTTTGAGCGCCACTTGCCGCTCCTCCGCGAAGGCGACGTCTTTACGAAATACGGTCCGAGCCAACGAGCCAACGACGTCTCCATCTTGGCATGTCTAGGTTTCCTCTTGGACCGCTGCGTCAAGCTCCGACTTGTCGACAACAGCCTCCAGTATCAAACGGTGGACCTCAACTCGCAGCAGTATTCGGGTAAGGACCCTTTGGCGGTCGAGTCGAGATGGACCATGGCTTATTCTTCTTGTACGATGCGTAGGGGAGACCAAGATCATCTTGCTGGAAGCTGTTGCCAGTGTCGAATCCTCGGGCGCCGTGACATTGAGCATCAAGACCCCGGCGCAAAACCACAAACTGGATGCGCCGACGTCGGCCGCCCGCGACGCGTGGGTCGGCGCGATCCAAGCGGCCGTCGATCTTTTGCAGGTACAAGCATTTTCGAAACGACGCGATCGAAAGGATGAAATCGCTGTCATGCTAGTACCTTACCGCCACAGAGAACGCCAAGCATGCCAAGAGCTTGGCGCAGGAACACGCCGAGATGAACCGAGTCATCCAAGGGTAGGCTCTTCGTTTGCAAACTCCATGCGACGCTGCTTGATTTGACGCCTCTATGCATACCATGATAGCATGGAGTCTGTCGAAATGCGGCGCCTGGAAATGCAGCATCAACGGCTGCAGAAGAACAGCTCGCGGCGCGACGAACTGCGGGCCAAGTACGGACTCCCCGTGGCGACGGCGACATGAAACATTTATGTATTTCGTTTAATATATATAGGCAACAAACGATCACGCTTGTTTATAAGAAGCTGTACATGGCGTGGGTCGGCGCCGGGCCAAAAGCCGTAGCGAGGGCTGCGTAGTAGAGAGCGTCCTCCGAGTCGGAGCACTCGTCGCGGGCCTCGGCCGCGTAGTAGTTCGTGAGCGGCCCCGTAAAGAACTCTTCGTTGTCCATCGCGATGGGCGCCAAGGCAGCGCCGTACTCGATCGTCGTGTCGGCCATGCTGAAGGGATGTAGGTTGGTGTGTTGTCGAAGCTGCAAGTTGCGATCTGACGCTTGATTTCCGATTTCTCATCAGAGCCACGCAACTGCAACTTGCGTGGTTTTACGCACCTACCGCCATAAATCCAGTGCGCTTTCTGTGCCCCCTCGCCGCGGCTTGGAGCCCCGAAACTGGTGCTCGTTTATGTGACGCCAGCGCGTCGATCACACCATTCTCGGCCTTTGCACCAATCCGAATCGTGTCCTTGGCTTTTGTAATGGGTGCGTCCTTGAATTTCCGACATCAAATCGGGGCGGAAACTAGCTTTTCGGTGCGCTTTCTAAAAGCGAAGTTCGAACCAAAGATAGCCACGTGATCGAAGCCAATGGCCGCCCAATGTGAAATCAAAAACACACGTGGCCAACACCTCTGCAAAGTCGGTGCGGCGGCGGTGTCGACGCCGTGTGAAACCACGACACCCAGACCTTCCAAGCTGTGCGTGGGGGCGGCCTAGGATGGATGCCAGTATATTATCGACCATCCCGACGACACTGGAGGAACTCTACCCAGCACCCATTGGCCCTTCACGTTGGAAGCGCCGGTGGAAGCTTCGGGACCAGATCGACTACACATTGAATAGCTAGCTACTCGAGATACCGCATACTAGAAACAAGCAAAGCAAGCGTTTCTTTGCGTCGTCCCACCCTACTGCGCACTCTCATCCCCACGTTTGCACGCCGTGATGCAAGCTACCCCGACTGCCTTTGTCGTAATACCTTATCCGTGTATTCGTAGTAGGCAGTGATCTAGTCTGTCCATGGCCCCTTCCGCCAAGCAGCACCGGATCCTCCTCGCTCGTACACAATCGATGCAAAACCAAAGAGCAAAGGGCAAGGTGTGCATTTCCCACATTGCGGCCGGTGAAAAACACACCACTCGCCTTCTCGTGGCCGTCGGCGGTTTTCCGGATACGCCGCGCTAGCCACTAGATTGGGGCGGAAGAGGTCGGCGGGTGTATCCGGATACGCGGCTATAAGTTTGGTCGCGGCCAGTCTCGAGTTGGAGTGACTAGAATACTAGTGAGCATGAGCAACTGGAGCCCGTCGCCCGAAGCGCTGCATGACGTCGTGACGCTCTTGCAGGCGTCGACGGTCCCGGACAACGCGGTCCAGCAGCAGTTTTACGAGCGTTTAACGCAGTACAGCCAGAACCCCGAGTTTTACCTGTACCTCCTCCACGTCTTTGCCGCGCACCCGGACATTGGCATCCGCCAAGTCGCTGGCCTCCTCCTCAAGAAGAGCATCAAGTCCATCTACCACACGCTCTCGCTCGAGATGCAGACGTACATGCGCATGAGCATCCTCGCGCTGCTCGCGGACCCCAATGGCCGCATCCGGTCGACGGCCGGCGTGCTCCTCACGACCGTCGTCGCGCAGCTCGTGACGCTCGAGCAGTGCCCGGAAATGATCCCGGGTCTCATCCGGTATCTCGAGGACGCTGGCAACGAGAACGGCGTCGAAGGCGCGTTTGGCGCGCTCAGCAAGATCTGCGAAGACCACGCGGACAAGCTCGAGAGCCCGAGCCTGCCGACGCGCCCGCTCACGCTGCTCGTGCCCATCTTTCTCAAGTACTTTCACCACCCGAAGGCCGAGTTTCGCCGCGATGCGCTCAACTGCATCAACCAAGTCATTCTGATCATGCCCGCGTCGCTCGTCGTCAACATGGACGCGTTCCTCCAGGTGCGCATCCTCCTCCTTCCTCCTCCGCGCCGGCCGATACTAATGCCGACTTGTATAGGGCATCTCGCACCTCACGCAGGACCCGTCGAGCGCCGTGCGCAAGCTCGTGTGCCAGAGCATCGTCATCTTGCTCGAAGTCAACATGCAAGTGCTCATGCCGCACTTTACGTCGATCGTGTCGTTCATCCTTCGCTCGACCAGCGTACGTCGCTTCGTCCGGCTCGATGCGTCGCCCCTCATGCTGCCACGTATGCATAGGACGAAGACGAGAATGTGGCCCTCGAAGCGTGCGAGTTTTGGTCGTCGATCTGCGATTTGCCGTCGCACCTCTTCAAGGACGTCAAGCCCGTTTTGAGCCAGACGCTGCCGCATCTGATCCCGCTCCTCCTCACGCGCATGGTCTACTCGGAGGAGACGATCTCGATGTTTGAGATCGAGGAGCAGGAGCAGAACGAGTCGGTGCCCGACCGGCCAGAAGACATCAAGCCCATCTTCCACAAGGCCAAGCCGCAAGAGAACCGCGGCAACTCGGACGACGGTGATGACGAAGAAGACGACGATGGCGACATGGACGACGACGAAGACGTCGAGCAGTGGACGCTCCGCAAGTCGGCGGCCGCCGGCCTCGACACGATCTCGCACGCGTTTGGCGTCGACATCCTCCCGATTCTCCTCCCGCTCTTGCAGGAGCGTCTTGGCCACACGGGCCACTGGGCCGTGCGCGAGAGCGGCATCCTTGCGCTCGGTGCGATCGCCGAGGGCTGCATGGACGGCATTCTCCCGCACCTCCCGGCGCTCTTCCCGTACCTCTTGACGCTCATGGACGACCCGGCGCCGTACATTCGCAGCATCACGTGCTGGACGCTCGGCCGGTACGCCAACTGGGCGGTCTCGATGAACGACCACGAGACGGTGCTGCGTCCGCTCCTCGAGTCGATGCTCAAGCGCATTTCGGACCCAAACAAGAAGGTGCAGCAGGCGGCGTGCTCTGCGTTCTGCACGCTCGAAGAAGAGGCGCTCGAGGAGCTCGTGCCGTACTTGACGCCGATTCTGCACAACCTCATGTTTGCGTTTGGCAAGTACCAAGCGCGCAACCTCCTCATCTTGTACGATGCGATCGGGACGCTCGCCGACTCGGTGGGCAGCTACCTCAACCGCCCGGACCTTGTCGCGGTGTTTATGCCGCCGCTCATTGTCAAGTGGAACGCGCTGCCGGACGACAACGCCGAGCTCTTCCCGCTCCTCGAGTGTCTTACGTCGATTGCGTCGGCGCTCGGCCCTGGCTTCCAAGAGTTTGCGGCGCCCGTGCTCGACCGCTGCATTCGCCTCATTGAAAATGGCCTGCTCTCGTCGGCCCTCGCGCGCCAGAGCCCGAACGAGATCGAGGCGACGGACCCCGAGTTTGTTGTCTGCGCGCTCGACCTTGTCTCGGGCATCACGGACGGCCTCACGGGCTCGATGGCGACGCTGATTGGCCCGACCAACATCTTGAACCTCGTCGTCGAGTGCGTCCGGTTCCATGACGCCAACGTGCGCCAGTCGGCGCTCGCAGTCCTCGGAGACTTTGCAAAGCACTGCCCGACGCTGGTGCAGCCGCACGTCAAGGAAATCGTGCCGCTGCTCCTCGCCAACATCAATCCGGACTACCCCTCCGTGTGCAACAATGCGAGCTGGGCGTTTGGCGAAGTCGCCATGAAGGCGGGTGCGGAGATTGAACCGTTTGCCTCGGACGCGATGGACAAGCTCCTCTTTGTTCTCAACCAAGTCGACGCCAAGCGCAACCGCGGTCTCCACGAGAACTGCGCGATCACGATTGGCCGCCTCGGTGTCGTCGTGCCCAAGTCGCTCGCGCCGTCCCTCGGAGTACGTTTTGAGTGTGTTTTTGAGTGTGTTTTGCTCATTTTTGACGGCTAGAGCTTTGCCAAGCAATGGTGCGCGGCGCTGCGCTTTGTGGGCGACGCGACGGACCGCGAGCACTGCTTTACGGGTCTCTGCTACCTCGTCCAGCTCAACCCGCAGGGCATCGTCCAGGACTTTATGACCATGTGTGTGGCCCTCGCGTCGCTCGAGAAGGGCGACGACGGCTACGACATTAGCAACGAGCTGCACGAGAACCTCCAGCAGATTGTGCAAGGCTTCAAGATGAGCTTGGGCGACAACTGGGCGCGGTATTTCGCGAGCTTTCCCGGACCTCTCCAAGAGGTCATTGCCGCCCGGTACCAGATCTAAGCCAACGACGACGACGACCAAGGGTGCAGTAGGAACACGAAGAGGATGTAGGATCTAGGATAGTAGGCACGAAGAGAAAGCGTCATTAAGAGTACAGGTAGTAGTAGTAGTAGTAGTAGTAGGAAGTAGTAAGTAGAGAATACAAACAACTAGCATGACCCGTGCTTTAGTGTACTGGTGGCCTTGGCCTTCTTGTGCGCCAGCGGTGGCTTGCCTTTGGCGCCGCGCTTGGTCGTCGGCGCGGCGTCCATCGTGAGCTTGACCAAGCCTTTGGTCACCGAGTCGTCGCTTGCGACCATAGCCACGACCGCAGTCGCCAAGCACGTGGCGACTTCGACGGGACATGCGTTCTCGTGGGCGTCCCGGAAGAGCTGGAGGAGGTCGCTGTGGTTCTTGGCCGACGCAATGCTGGCAATGAGCTGCATATCTAGACGGAAATGAGCCAGCGCGGATCCTGCGCATGGAGATCGAGATTACTTGCGACGCGGAGGTCCGACTCGACGGACGATGTGGTCATCTCAATACCCTTTTCGATTGCCGTGAGGTCGCGCACGAGGCGCTCGTAGTGGTCCATGACGTCGTACACGGTCTTGCCCGGCAGCGCGAGCGCAATCTTGGTCCAGCTCGGCGACCCGTTGTTGGGCTCGTTCGCGAGCGCGGCCTCGAAGATTGCGTTCTCTTCGTCGCTCCAGACGCGCGGCTGGTTAGCCTCGAGCAGCGACTGCGTTAAAAGCGCGTGGAGGTAGAACTCGCCATGCTCCTTCGTCTCGGACTCGGAGCGCGACCCGACGCAAGCCGCGATGAGGGCCCATGGCGGCGAGGCCGCCGCGCCGTAGAGCTCGAGGCCGTCGATGAAGCGCGTGTGCTCCTCCGCGGTCCATGGCCGCTCCGAGTCGCGGGGCGCGTCCGCAGGAGGAAGCTCGGCGAGCACGCGCTGCCACGAGGCTGGCGTCGTCGACATCCAAATTGCGCGACCAAGACCACGGGGTTGTTGGATCTTTTGTGCATCTATCCGGATGTCCGGATAAAAGCGATCCATCGCACATGCAGCGCTACAACTGCCCTTCGTTAGTGACATCTCTTCTGAACGGCCAAGACGTACAGCCCACTCATCATACAATTGTATTGCGGAGCCCAAGCTCGTACCGTATGAGCTGGCGACGAGGTGGCCGCCTTCACAGAGGTTTGTATCAACTTTGTATCAACTGAATACGTTCGAGGTCGACTATACTGCGCAATCAGGACGGCCCAGCGCGCGATGCTGGTGTGATCCTTGAAGACTGCAGTGCACTTCGTTAGCGCGTTGTAGCTTCAAAAGAGATCGCCGAGCATGTCGCCGCCTGGAAGGTTCAGCAGCTCGAGCCTGAGCAACGAATGCGTGCGTCCGAATGCAGACAACAATGTCGAGGGTGCGATTTGGGCATGTAGAAACTCTGAGTAGAAGCAGAGACATAACGATTCCAAGTCTACCGCGGACGAGCCCTGGCTTTTTTATTTCTACTTGCAGAATCTAGTAGGGCTAGGGTCCATTAACCTTTCCCCTGTACAAAAGCGACGCGAATCTAAACGTGCGAGCGAAGAAGCTCATATTTCGATCACGATTGAAATGCAAGCACCTCGCTGGAACCCTTCGACGAACGCGGCCTCCAAGGCCAAGCCAGGACTGATGACGTCGGCCCGTACGACGCGCACTGCCTCGACTGTGTCCACGCGCACGCAGCGCGCGGCAACAGCGCCGGAAGCGATGGACGTCTCGGGACGCCACGCCCGTGAGCTCGCTGCTTTGCGCACCGAGTACGAAGAACGCCTCGAGAGCCTCCGCACCGACTGCCAGATGCAGTTGGCGGCGTTGGCCACGACCTTGCGTACCGAGCACCAAGCCAACATTGCCGCTGTGACGACGACGCTGCAGCAAGAGCACCAAGAAGCCTTGGCTGCCTCGGACGCCAAGCTGCGCCAAGAGCACTCGATCAAAGAGATGGCTCTGACCACCGAACTCGCGACGCTGGCCGCACAGCACGACGCCAGCCTCGAGCGCGCTCGCGTCCTACACACTCGATCGGAGGGCCTGCGTCGCGACCTTCACACGCTCGCCAAGCTCAACCACCGTCTCCAGACCACGATCGCCACGACGACCGCAGAGGCTGCCACGACACGAAAGATCGCTGACGAGGCGCGTGTCGCAGAGCGTTACACTGCAGAAGTCGAAGCGCAGCTGCGCCACACGACCGCCGACCTCGCAGCAGCAGCCGATGCCATCGCTGCGTCGACACTGGCAGCGGCCACCACGGACGACCACATCGCCTCGCTCCAAGCCGAGCTCGAGCTCACGACCAGCAACCTCGCACACGCCGAGCACGCGCTCGACCAGACCAAGCGCGACCTTGCAACATCCAAAGCGACCGAAGACGACAACGCGGTCCGCCTCTGTGAGGCTACGAACGCCATCCAGAGCATGGGCGAGCACATCCAGATGCTTCAAGCGGACCTGGACGGTCATGAGCAACGGGCGCTCCGTGAAGCGTCGGCGAATGACGACGCCTTGGTCTCGCATCAAGATCGCATCAACGATCTACTGGGTCAGCTTGCCGTGGCCAAGTTGGTTGCCAGCAGCGCCCAGCCTCTTCACGAAGCGACGATCGAGACCAAGGACGAGACCATTCGCTGCATTCACGTTCACCGTGACGATGGCATCCAGGAAGCTGTCGACTTACTCGATGCTGCAGCCACGACCACCGATCTCAGTCCAGAAGTCACCGAAGCCGTGTTGACGGAAGCCGAGGACGAGCTCATGCAAGTGCTTCAAGTCGCTCGAAACCTGGTCCAAGCCACAGTAGCCGAATGCCAAGAGAGCCTGGCGACAAACGAGGCCACAATCAGTCACCACGAAGAAGCCTCCGATGTGCGCCACCACCACCCGCGCATCTCGGTGCATCGAGTCGACAGGTAAGCACGATGGTAGTAAAACCCCGATATGTAGAACCGTGATGTGCAACCTAATCCACAATCAATACAAAGACTTCAAACGACCATCACGAGATGTCACGTGCGTCCTCGCCAGTCGCCAGTGGCCCAAGGAGAGGCTAACGGACTTGGTTTTCGCTGATATTGATACTTTGCAGCATGTATAACTGTGTCTCGTACGCCGGCCGCGGGACATCAAATCCCGTGTTCGAATCGTGGATCAATGCAGCTCTGGGCGCTGGGGCAGGCAAAAGTTGTAGAAGCTTCCTGGCGCAAACGACGTTGTTTTGCGCCAGCCACACGCGACGCCCTTGAAGCCCTCGAGGGACACTGTCTACACATACGACATCATCCAACTTCGCCATTCTCCGATGCCACGTGTACCTTTGTTTGGATCGTCACCAGATCATCGGGACCAGTGTAGTGCGGATCCAGAATCAAAAACGCTACGTCGCCCGTCGACGCATGGATGTCAACACCAAGCAACGTGTACGCCATGGAAGCGCCGCCTACAGGGACAGAATATCGGAGGACCTTCACCTTCAGAGCCATCATTCGTTCGTCGCACCCATCATGACGGGCGTTCCCTGAGATTCAAAATGGAGCGCGAGGTCGTGCGCCCGGGACGGCAAGTCGGCGCCCGACGCACAGGAGAGGCTTCGAAATGTGATCTACGCACGTTCAATATCGCCTCTGCTTCAAGAACGAGCGCACCCCGTAGCGCTCGTCGAGCACAAACCCCACTTCGATCGACCCAATCCAGTCGGACGAGCCGAGAAAACGGGGCGGCTTGTCGCCAATGTGCACCAGTGTTTCTTGAATCTCACGGTGGGTCGGGACGGGAACCTACCAAGCATCGTCTTTAGCAAATCAAAGCACCCTGTGTTGATGACCGAAGTGTAGCGGTTGAAGACTAGCCACGAAGCCAGGGTCTGGAGCGACCGATACGCACAACCCCAACCCTAATCGATGATGCATGGTCTTCAGGACGCGATCCAGAATAAATGTTACCTTGTCGTTGATCCCTTGCTGCATGTAATGGTAGAACGCATAGTCGCCCGAGACAAGAAATTGAGTGCCACCTGCGCCCTTGGAAACACCCACGTGCACGTTGAGAAGCACGTCCGACGGTGGTTGTGTGCGCGACAGAGACCATGTACACGCTGGCAGAAACGTAGGGTGGAGCGGCTGGTAAAAGAGAGTATGTAGGTGGTCGCGTGCCGACTGCGGGATCTCATGGCCGTCCAGAGACCATGCGGCAACCGGATGCATCGCGCCATTCTGCAGCGGAAACTGGTGGCACCGCATCTGCCTCGTGTCGGGCAGAAGATGCTTTTTGGATTCACGCAGCTACATTGCGGGTTGTGGGTCCAATTGGAGTGCAACGCGCAGCTACATACCTGGGCGGAGAGGCCGTCCGCCAACGTCTGCAGCATCAACGCGAGCGACGAACGCGTCGGTACGCAGCAGACGACGTCCAGCGTGATGGACAGACGATCTATCTCCTGGCATGAGACGCGACAACCCGCAACCGCCGTACCGCGCAACGACGACAAAGTGATGACGGGCGCGGTGACGACCGTCGGAGTCATGGACGTCAGGAGCTCCACATAGCAAACACGGCCATAGCGCACGTCCTCCGAGACAACTTGCTTCGGGGCAGTCGGCTCTTTCTTCTTTGGCGCGTCGTCCCAACCGTCGTTGGCGCGTTGCGGCGGCTTCTTCGTCAACGTTTTCGGGACGACAATTTCGGCCAGCGACCACGTCGCCCGCTTCCCACGCGATGCGACCGCAGCGTGAACGACGTCGCCAGCTTGCGACGCGATATCGCCCGACGGAAGCTCAAAGTACGTTGCTTCGGGGTCTGTTAGCGCTGCGAGGCGCTCGTCGATGGCCGCTCGGGCTGCCATCCTTCGGTCGCGCCCATCCGTCGTCTGAGGAGGGACGATGCACTTTCAACGACACAAGATACAAGAGCTTACCCATGCAACGTCAAGCGTCGCGAAGCAGCGCACGATCCCGCACTCGATGGCTGCCGTAAACGGCGATGCGCAGTGGCCGGGCGTCGCGACGACGGTGACGGGGATGGGAGGTACCTAAGTGCATCGTTCCATGACCACCAGCCCACGTCGAGTCGCCAAGCACCTCGGGATCGGTAGATAACATGCGCAACGACCGCGTCTCGCTCTCGTAGATCAAAGCGTACGCTGTCGTCGTCGCGAGGTCGTGGAGCTGCGAAGCGAGCTGCGTCCCTACAGTCTGTATGCTTAGCCATCTCGAGCATCTGCTTCGCGGGCTGCAGATCCTACGAAGGGTCTTCTCGTCTAGCGACATTGATGCGAGGACGACGACGCCAAGCACGCAGAGCCCGCTCGGAAGCATCTCGGTCACATTCCTACGCACATGCATCAGTCGATGGATATGCTTACAGTCTCGTACCGCGCGGAGCTCATGGACCACACGGCGATGCGTGCTTCGTCCTGCGTCCCGAGGATGTACGCGGTTGCATCTTCCTCGAGCTGCGCCATGGCCGCGACGAGGCCGCTCGGGACGACTGCGATCATGCTCGAAATGGCTCCTAACCGGTTTTCATTCTCAAACGGATAACGTAGCCGATTGATTATCGGTTCGAGGCTGTCGCAGGTGTGGACCGGTTACTCGCGGTTGACGCAAGCCTCTTTGATTGAACGCGACGGCGTCAACACCTTTGATTGAGGATGAAGCAGCGCAAGTCGCCGCCTGTCGCTGCGCCGCCGACCGCGCCCGCCCCGAAGGCCGCGCCGAGCCTCTTGTCGCTCGGCCTCTTGCCGACGATGATCCCGGTGTCGGGTCTGCTTACGATGGCGGCCACGATGGTGTACACGTGCCAGCACCACTACAAGTGCACGGAGACGTACCCGACGCTCTCGACGGCGGCGATGGCCCATCCGCAGTTCTACGTCTTTGGCATTGGCATGAACCTCACGTCGTACTTTATCTTCCTCACGATCTCGCTCCTCACGACGTACATGCAAGCGCAGCGCACGATGACCAAGTACGCGTGGGTGTACTACGTCTGGGGTCTTCTCACGTCGGCCGGCCTCACGGTCCTCTGCACGTTCGACATGAAGCGCTGGCGCAACACGCACATCATCTCGACCATCTTCTTCTTTCTGAGCTCGTGGATCATGATGATTATGGCCCAAATCGCGCGCCTCCGCATTGCGTCGCCGGCCCACGCGTACGATATGCGATGGTATCAGGATGGAAAGCTCACATGTCGTGTGCTGCTAGGTACCACGTCAAGTGGGGATCGTTCTTCATCGGCCTAGGCGTCTTCCTGACCTCTATGTGTACGTCGTGTGGCGCATCGATTGGACGTCGTATATTGATGAATGGTCGTGCGTAGTCGGCTTCTTCTATGTGACCGTCCACGGCTACATTGCCAACCCGTATGGCCTGACGTACTCGCAGGAGGCGCTCCTCGAGCTCTTCTCGATCGTGTGCCAGCTCTTGTACATGGGCACCCTCTCGTCCGAAGTCGGATCGCTCGAGTCCTTCCAGAAGCAGCGACCGTTCCTCCGCGCCATGGACTACGGCGCCTTGGTCGTCCTCATCGCCGCCGTCTTTGCAGTCGAGTGGCTTTAAACATGAACGAGCACGAAGAGGCCTGCAAACGCCAACGTGATTGGTCTGCAATCATGTAGCAGAGTAGGTTGGCTGGGTTGATACGTTGATACAAATGGGCGACGCGGAGGCCTTTGGTGGGCAGCTGCGCATCTCCATAGCGCGTAAAGTAGCTTCGCCGCCGTAGTATGTTTCCTACTCGGAATGCTGATACTAGGAGGACTGTGATGTGCTTGCAGGTGCACTGACTTTCCACGACAAAGCTGCGATTCGACAAGCTCGGGCTAGGGTACTAGTGCCAAGCGCGCGCTCGACCATCCGAGATCGTGGAAGCCACCAGGGAAGCCACGGTGATCCGCTTTGCCAGCCCATCTCGTGCAGCATCTGGTGCGATCGAGCGACTCACCGGCTGCGAGGACAGGCCATCGCCGATAGTTCACCATCTGCATCTGCGCGAGCTACTCGACGCCTCGTCGCACAGTCCAACGTCAATAAGATATTTTGATTCGGTTTTCTACGTCTACTCGATTTACATATCGTACACTACTCACGTCGACTACTACATGATGACACAGCCTTCCTCTTCGTCGTCACCGGGCTTGGCGGCCGCGTCGACGGCAGGCGACGTCGACGCTTTCTCCGTGCACGGACACGCAAAGCTCGACGAGACGCCCGCAAAGTAGCAGCGGCCGCAGTCGTCGCAGTGCACGTCGCGGTGGTCGCCGCAGCGCTTGCACTTGGCGCAGTGGTTGCGCTTGGCCTTCTCGCGGTCGCAGAGTTTGTTGGCACACCACGAAAAGTCATAGCTCTTCGCGCAGCCCGCGCACGCAAAGCCGTCAATGCACTGGAGGATCGAGACGTTCTGGTTGGACGCAATGCTTGGGCAGCACGGGACCGGAATGACTTCGTGGAGTTTCGTCATCATGTCGCGAATCTTGGAGAGGTTGTGCATGAAGCAGTCGTCGCGGACGAGCGTCGAGACGTCAATGCCGGCCATCGCGATCGACAAGAACGGGTTCTTGCACGACGTGCACCGGCACGTCACGCCGCACATGCTGCCTTCCTTGACGCACGCGCAGCGGCCGTTGCGGCACCCGCCCGCGCACCGGCACGAGTTGAGCTTCGTCGACGCCGGAAGCATCGTGGGCAGCACCGACGGACTCATCTTGAGGTCGCGAAGCGGCGGGTCGGCCTTGACTGGCGACGGCAGCGACGGGCGGTGCAGGTGCGCCGTGTTGGGCCGCGGCGCAATGTGCACCATGCGCGGCGCCTGCGACGGCGACGGCGACGGTCGCGACGGCGTCGGCGCCAGTGCTTGGCCGTTGTTGAGCACCATCCAGTAGTTGGGCAGTGTCGTCTGCGGAATGTACTGCGGCGGCGGGTGCGCATGCGGATGATGCGCATGGTGGTGGTTGTGGTGGTGGTGATGCTCGTGGTGGTGTTGCGACTCGTTGACCGACTCATCCATCGTCATCTCCTCGAGCACTTCCATGTCTTCGAGCGGCAAGAGATCCGTCTCGTCCGTCTCGGACGCCTTGGCGTGCGACAAAAAGTCAATCAGATCCGCGTCTTGCATCATGTGCGCGTTGTGGCTCTCGACGTCCATGTCATCGTCGCTGCCGTCGTCGTCCTCTTGCATGATGGCATCGACGTCGTTCGACGTGTCGTTGTCCTGGAAGGTCGGCGCTAGCTGGACGCGGTCGACGCTCGTGCGGCAGAGCGGGCACGACCGGTTGGTGCGGAACCAGCGCAAGAAGCAGCGCGAGTGGAAGACGTGCCCGCACGGTACCATTTGCGTGTGCGCATTGCTCGAGAGACACACTGAGCACTCGCGGATCGAGATCGGGAGCGTCGCCACTTGCTTGGAGATGACGTTGCAGGCCTTGGCGATTTCGACTTGGAGCTGGTCCACGCCGGCGCTAGCTGCGTGAAACTGCTGGCCGTACTTGGTCGTCTCGTCCTTGAAGGCGGTAGGCGCGGCGAAAGGCTTGGCGCGCTGCTGCATCACAGGGCCGGTCGGCTGGGCGTAGTAGCCCGAGGTGCGACCGTCGCTGCGAGAGTCCACGCAGATGACCTTGCCGGTGGGGTGGCCACCCCAGCCGTCCAATTGAACACGCTTCACGCCGGGCATGGTTGGATCTACATACGTTCGCGCATGAGATCATCCGATGTCGAGGTAGCTTGCGCACATACCGATCTACTTGGGAACTGCTGCTGCTCCTGTGCACCGAAGCCGCTCTGCCCCAACGCTAGCGACCGGAAAGAACCGTAACACACGACCGCTGATTGGCTGAAAAGAGGATTACCCAACATTTGGTTGCGACAGGCCTCGCTCATATCCTAATTAGGCATAATGTGCTGAATCGCGGCCTACTCTGCGCCGCCTTTTCGCAGAGGACATGTGCCGCTTGCTCCGTTGACCGTAGCATGTCCAGGTGGCACGGCAGTACTCTTTCGAGAACCAGGCTCCATTCACGCATGTCAAGGCAAATGGCAAGCAAAACCTAATTAGGACAGGGGTGGCTGAACCAGGACCGCACCCAACTCGGAGGTGGCTTCAAGTTGAACATATCCGATGGCGCCACCTGCGTTGCTGCAACGAGCCTGTTGCCTCAACGACCCACGCGACCGCTGCTTGTGCTTCCAGGCTTTCGAGAGAAGCGTCGCCGTCGTAATTGTAGCCCAGAGCTCACTCGGTGGAGTACATGATGGTGTCACAGGCCGATCAGGTTGCATAGAGTGCACTGAGTACAGCAGTAGCTACATAGCTCAAGATCGAGATGACGTGTCTCTGCGCTGCGCTTGGCACGAGAACACTTGACATGTTAATACAAACCTTGACCACAAGTGCGTGCGCGCGTGGTCGGTTGGGGATGGGTTTGAGTCATCTCCGACGCCACCAGCTTATCCAAGAGCCAAAGATTCCTACCACGGCGGGCCGTTGACTCGTTTCTGTCGCAAGACCAAGGAGGAGTGTACAGGAGAGCGCGAATAAATGAGTTGGGTGTGTTAGTGTAGTTGTATAATATAGGCGTCGGGACGCCGCGTGCGGGAGCATCATCATCATCATCATCTTCGAGTTAGCGTCGCCGTGCCGACTACTTCCAGTGGTAGGTAGGGCAATCGTGGCGAGCTACGCGGCCGACGGCATCGAGAGCGCCGACTTGAATTTTTTGGTATCTGCCCACGAGGTTGTTCGCTAAGACAAAATAAAACAATCAGGTCATGCGTGCAGGCGTCGCAATTACTACCTGCTGCTGTTGCAGTCCTCGGCGCCGGGCAGCTTCTACGGGACGTGGTTCGGCCGAACGCGGAGTGGGACGCGTCGCCGAGTACGGTTGGTTCTCTAGCCAAGCGACGGTCCGCTACACACCGTGCGCGTCAGGAACGACGCACCCAAGTGGTTGACGACCGCTGAGGATTACCTGGTTCGGGTTGAGCGACGGCGCTTGATGTGAAAAGGCGCTGCTTGATATCGGCCGCTGCGTGGCCAAGTCGTTTGCGCGTGCTTGCCGCCGGGCGTAGAGCAAAAGGTTGACCCAGAGCTCCATCTTTTCCATCGAGCTGGCGCGGACGAGGCAGCTAAAGCCGCCGAGGAGCTCGAGCTGGAAGTCGGTCTTGTTGAGGGGTGCAATCTTGGTCACCGACTTCATCTCGAGCTTGCCTACGCCGTCGCGTGCATAAGCATTCGTGTGCGACCAGCAGGCGCATTGTACCTTTCGGGATCTTCCAGTAACTTCGCTTGAAAAAGAGCAGCTCGCCTTTCGCAAAGTCGAGGTAGAACCAGCGCTTGTGCCAGCTGCTCAGAAAGTGGAAGCCCGAGTTTTTGAGGATGCGGAGATGGCCAAAGTACGGCTGCAACGTCGACGGTGAGTTGTGCATACCGGCCAGGCACACGCTGTCGGCAAAGCTAGCTTCGCTGCCGAGCTCGCTATCGTCGGTCTCGTAGCCATCGTTGGCGCTTTCGCAGAGCATCGTAAGACGGAGGCGCTCGATGGCCTGTACAGTGTTCTTGACGCCTTGCAGCGCCTGGTTGACGCTGGCTTTGAACTTAGACGTCTCGTGCTGAATCTTGGAGACCGCAGCCTGGCTCTGCATGTACTCGTTGAAGAGCTCGGTGAGGCACGCGTTCTCTTCGACTTCTTCAAACTGCTCGGCCTCCGAGCGAGCGACGCGCTCTGGTGCGGGCTTGCAGCCTTCGCCCCAGAAGCTCTTGATGCCAATGTAGTTCATAAAGACGTGCACCGTGTTGGACTCCATCGAGTCGTAGTAGCCCGCGGTCTCAAAGAACGCCGAGCCATCGATAGGCGCCGTGCTCTACACGCCATCGCATGAGTCCTCGATACCGGCCATCGTCGATCTCGTACCGCGTAGACGTCTTCGAGGTGCTTCTCAAAGAGCGTCGAGGCCGGCGTGTGCGCGTACATCGTGCTGTCCCGCTGGAAGTAGCCGCTGTCGCGTCGCACGAACGGGGCGGGCTCGGTCGTGAGCATGGTCGTACAAAGTCGATCGAGCGGCGAGACCGGTGGAGGCAGCTTCACGTCGTCGTCCACTCTGCCCAAGGGAAGATCACAAGTAAGCGGAGCGCGATACAAACTCCAAGTGTACTGCGAGTGTTCAGACCCACGACACAAAAAAATGGGCACCTCTTTCGTCATTGATAAAATGCCACCAGCTGCTTTGTACCTTGATCTTTGTATGCCCCGCGCACCCGCCGGAATAAAAATGAGTCGACCGAAAAAGCACACGAGATCCCGTCGACCAACACTCCATGGCGCCGCACTCGCGCACCGAGCACCGAGCAGCTGGAGCTCGCTCCGAGGCAGAGGACGCAGTGGAGCGTCGTGCTCTCATGCGGTGGTCATGGGTGCGAAGCCCGCAAGGCAATGGCGGCCACACATGCTCGTACGACTATATGGGACTCTGCCCCGTCGCCATCCTTGCGACTGGCCATAGAACGAGGAGGAACCGCGATGTAATGGTGTTGGGCATCGTGTCGACGGTTGCATCAGATCTTAGCGTCTTATTCGACGTGGCAGAAGGAGCGTTGGCCGTGCAGTTTGGCCTTGCAGCGTGGACTTGGCCGACGACACGCTGTAAAGGCCGGGCTACGCGCATCCTCGACGAACCTTCGTCAGTCGCGGGACAGCGCTGTGACATGGGCCGCGCAAGATCGCGCCATGGCACCAAATTTGATCAGATCCGGATCCACGTCACGACCATGGCGGTGGGCGAGGTTTGATGAGCTGCCCTTGCTCGGTGGCTCCAAGCTGTAGCCGCCTTCCAGCACCGAAACGATGCGACCGTCGCAGCAGCTACACAATCGCGATATACACGCACGTCAGATGCAAAGATACTCGCGTCAGGAAAAGCAAAGCACTTGTCAGCGATCTCAACGAGGCGCTGCGTGATCCACTCGTAGTCCCATTCCGTGAGGCAGTGGTAGTAATCGTCGACATGTCCGTCAAAACCCGATGAGATCAAAATCAAGTCGGGTGCAAACGCGCGCAGCGCCGGCAAGAGGATCTCGGTCGCCTTGGATTGAAATTCGCTCGATGCGCGCTCCGTGAGCTCTCGCCGCGTGCGCTCGGTGCCTCGCTTGCCGCCCGCGCCGAGATTCGTCAGCGGAATGTTGACGATGGTGTTGCACGATGCGAGCTCGTTCCTGCCATGCGGCCCACGTCCGGATCCTGGGTAGAACGCCGTCTTGTCGTCGTACACATGCATCGACGCAAAGACACATTCTCAGCCTACAAATGCCCACGCCATGTCAAGACAAAACGATCCTATCGATCGACGACTCCAACATCATCATCGTCGCGCCACGGCATGAAGGATCGAAACGTTTTCGGTGCCCAGCTAGGTGGCAGCGGGTAGCGATGGTCGTGCGACCGCAGGTTCCGAACGATCTCTTCCGTCCCGTTGCCGTGATGGACGTCAAAGTCGATAATCGCAACGCGGTGCACGGTGGCATGACTGGTGGTGGCTTTCGAGTAGTATGACGGGCCGTACGTCGCCATCGCGTATGCTGAACACTCACTTTCCGAGGTCTGATCGTGGGGTTAAGTGGCGTACCTGCCCCGATCGCCACGTTGTTGAGGAGGCAAAAACCACACGAGCATCCACCAGGAGACTTGTGGAAGGCGTCGTTCTCGACGCAGCCATAGGGCCCAGCATGGTGCCCCGGCGGGCGCACCACGACAAATGCGTTTCTAGAGCGCCTCTCAGTATACATTCGACGCCTATACTGATAGTACCGGCTTCGTCCGCACACAACCTCGTCCACGGCATGCAAGACAGCGCCGACGGCATACCGCGCGGTCATGAAGCTTTCTCTGGAGATTGGCATGTCCGGGTCCAAATCGGTGGCGGCGTCGCAGATCGTGTCTGCGTGGCAGATACCTGCCTTGTGCGTCTACACGACATCAATGCGCGGCACGAGCAATCACGATTTACTTGAATCCACTGCTTGTACGATCGATGCCCCTCAAACTCGTTCTGGATCGAGAGACCAGCGTCTTGGGGTGGCAGCAGCGCGCACGTCAATTGAAGGTGGTGCAAGTACTCCCGCGAGTGCACGCGCTCGAGATCCAAGAGCCGAGCTGGTACAAGCTGATCCAGCGGTGCCCAGCGCAGATGCTGGAAACGGGGTAGGTTCAAGACGCCGTTGGGGCCGCAGAGCGCAGCGACGCGCTGCCGGTTCTCTTGGTGATGCCCCGTGTGATGGTCCAAGCACGACGGCTGGTACACGATCAGCGTCGTGTCTCCCTCTTCGTCGAGTACGTCAAGGAGATTCCGAGATACAGCGTCCGCCCCTGTCGACCACGCTCGCTGGGTCGAGCTTAGCGCCGATGGATCCGGCGACTTCTCGTGGTTGTGGCGCTTCCCGAGATGTAGCGCCGCTGCTAAAGGTCCATCGTTAGCTCTCCCTGTCCTTGCTCGTTGGTCGTGTACCCAATGGGTCGCTCGGGGAGACCGCTGGCGTCGTCGGATGACGCTTCCGGGGTACGCCCGGCGTCTCGACGTCGGCTCCATGGACCCAGCTACATGCATGTCCAGGGCGTCTCCTGCATGGAGGCTCCATGGAGGAGTCGTCTACCTCGGGTTCCGCGGTCCATATACCTCCATTCTCCCCATCATCGTGGTCGCTTCCTCGGCGTCGTCGCCCATCGCGCCAGTCGAACACTGCCCGGGCGCCGATCTTTATCCGGAAAGTATCCGGATATTGAAAACGAGCTGAAAATTTCACGTGTGCAATCATGGCAACGCCACGCTAAATTTGAGCAATCAAGTCGTACTATGCAATCGTTGAAGGACACTGCCATATAATCGACTAACTAGCTAAATTCGTGTCAATGACGCCAAGACCTTGGTGTATGCGTCTGCGTCATCATCATGCAGCGCGGTGCAAGCGACAGGGCCCGCTCGTGTAAGCTCCTATGGGCCGTAAACAGCTCCGCGCCAGAGGCCGTCCACCTGTTTCAGTATACGAATTTTAATATTTCGAGAAACGGGCGCATTACAAATCCATTTGCGGATTCAGCGCCAGCAGCATGAGCATGGCAGGAGCGTTGAAGAAACCACTGCTGGTCGAGACGCAGGAACCCGACGAGGACGTCGGTGCGATGGCGTCGAGTTATGACGCCGACAGCGCCAACCTCGACGCCAACCTCGCGTCCGCGTACAAGCGCATGGTCTCGGCGAAACAGTCCGTGTCCTTTGGCACGCCCAAGTCGGACACGGACAGCATCCGCATGAGCAGCGCCGAGAACGGGCTCGGGACGCCCAAGTCGGACTTTTCGTCGTCGCGCTACTCGGTGTCGCAGTTCTCCAACTCGAACTCGCGCCTCTCGTCCGCGTCGACGTCGCGGGTGTCTCTGCGCGAAGCCGCGAAATCGCTGGTGTCGCAGCGCAAGCTCACGATCCACGACGAAGAAGTGCGGTTACCGCACCCGGACGACGTCCGTGAGAGCATCCGCATGATCCACGTACGCCCATGCCACGGCCACGCCATCCCATGCCATGTCTTCCTAGGCCCACTCTCGACGCGACCTGCCCAACGAGTGCGATATGTCGACCGACGTCGTGATTCAAAAGAAGACGTACACGCTGGCCTTGTCGCGCGACCTGCTCGTGTGGTCGACCGGGTTTGAAGTCTATTGCAACGTCGTCGCGCTCATGCGCCGAGTTCTTATAGGAGAAAACAAGTCGGCTGCATCGAGACGGACGACATTGTTGGCGCCGCGCCCATCAGTGGCAAGAAGGACGCGTTCCGCGTGCATTTCTTCCGCAAAGGCAAAGGTGCGCCTCCCATCCATGCCTTCGACAATGGGCTCACGTTGGGCTCTCGTGTGTGCAGGTCGAGGCGCCAAAGCGCTCCTGCGTCGCCCGTCGACCATGGACGTGCAGTCAAGAAACGAGGCAATTGCGTCCGGCTGGATCACGGCGCTGCAGGAGCTCGTGCGCTGGCAGGCGCGCGTGCCGCCAGCGACGCAGATGCGCAAGATCCGCGTCGTTGTCAACCCGCACTCGGGCGCGCGTCGGGCACCGCAGGTCCTATACGTCGCTATGAGAGCGAGTCGCGTCAAGATCGATCGTGCGTAGATATGGGAGAACGACGTCAAGCCGTACTTTGATCTCGCCGGGTTCGACTACCACGTCGACTACACCACGTACGGAGGCCACGCCGTCGACATGGGAAAGGAGTACTCGCCCGAAGAAGGCTACGAAGCGATCGTGTTTGTCAGTGGCGACGGCACGATCTGCGAGTACATGAACGGGCTCCTCGCGCGCCCCGAAGACGAGTGGAAGCAAGTGGTGGCATCGACGCCGATCTCGCTCATCTCGGCCGGTACACGTGTTGCGGGATCGTCTGGTATGCTCACTCGGTCGGCGTAGGCACGCAAAACGCATTTGGCACCGGGGTCGGGATTCCGACGACGGCCGCGGCCGTCTACTGCATCATCAAGGTACACAACTCCTCTGTCGTTGTCTGCATTAGCGTTGGCATAGCGCAAGCTGCGTCCGTTGGATGTGATCACTGCGATTGCCGAGCACGATCGGGAGGTCGTGCACTACAGCTGCTGCGGGCTTGGCTGGGGCGTCGCGGCCGACATTGCCGAAGAGTCGGAAAAGTACCGCTGGATGGGCACGAAGCGCTACGCGTTCCTCAAGGTACCCTTTTTTAAATGGCGTGTTCTTAGACGTCTCGTGTAGATCAAGCGGGCACTGTTTCCTCGCCGACACACGGGCCAAATCAAGTACATTCCCGTGCTGCCCGAGCCGACCCTTCGCAAGTACGACGACATCAAGAACGAAGGAGCTGACGACCAGTTTGATATGGTACAAGATCAAAATCCATTGCATCTCCAGATGCATCGATGTTTGGTAGGAGGAAGGCAACATCTACGACGGCCTCGCGCGACTCCGTAGCCAGAGCATGGCTCGCCCCGTCGGCGCAGGTAGCAATACCGTGGTACCGTGGAAACAGGCATGGAAAGCACGTCCTAGTGCGAAGTCCAGCGAGTGCGCGGCGCTACAAGGATGAGGCGTGGGTGGTCGAACGAGGCAATTTTATCGTCGTCGGGGCCGTCAACGCGGCGCCCGACGGCGTCTACTGCCACCCGTCGGACGGCTGCCTCGACCTCATGATTGTGCGCAAGGGCAACTTTTTCCAGACGCTGCATTTACTCGGGCTCTACTTGGTCGGAAAAGAGCTCCAGAGCAAGCAGCTCACGTACAAGAAGATCAAAGCGCTCGTGATCGAGCAAGACCAGCCAAATGGGTGCCTCAACATGGACGGCGAAGTGCTCCATGGTCCTGGCCCGTTCCGCATGGAGGTTGTGCCGAGCCTCTTTAAAGTGCTCTCGGAAAAGTAGACGCGTCATCTGTATTTATACGACACCCGATTTGCACTGCGTACAGGTGGAGTGTCTTACATCGCCCTTGACTTTGTACGTGTCCTCTCACGATCACAGACACACGTCGAAGAGGATGACACCAGCGTGCACGGCAGCACGCTTCGAGTCCTTCGTTGCATGGTGAGGCGACAATTGAGTAGCTGTGTCCAGGGCAAAGGGGTGACTGCCCAGCACGGTGGCGGTCTGACATATCGACGCCTTGCGTGACGGTGCTTCTTCTATCTTTTGTAATTTATCGATCTCGGCGCGACGACATCGTTGTTTGTTACGGTGCTTTGGTCAGGAAAGCTGGCTTCCACATCTTGAGGAGCGAGCACGAGGCCGACACGAGCCCGCAGACCGCGTCTTGGCCCGTCGACGCTGTCGGCCAGTTGAACGCGAGCCGCGTCGCATGGAAAAAGTCGGCCACCGCTTTGATCTGTGAGACCGTCACGGACGCGAGCTTGACTTGGCAGTTGTGGTACGCGACAGGGTCGACCTCGGGGTCGCACGCCAAGAGGGCGGCGCGGGCGTCGAGGATCGCGCACGTGTTGAGCGGCAGGTCGCAGCAGAGCGTAAAAAACCTAAGAAGTACGATCGCCGTCAGCGTATCTTCCCAGAACGTTCAGCCAGCGTACCACAGTCGATCCACCCACTTGTCGTACGCGCCAATCTAATCCGACAAACGTGAGACAGAGACGACGGTCGAAGCTTGCAGCGTACCCAGGACGGCGCCAGCGCCATGTCGGACGCCCAGCAGAGGTCGTCGCCCAAGTCGCCCACAGTACCGGCGCCAACGCTGAGCATGGCCGCGGTGCGCTGCCAGCCCGCCGGCTCGGCGAGCGCATCGAGCGAGTTGTTGACGACCTTGAGGCTCTTGCCGAGACGCATGACCCGCCGCGCGCCGCTGAGTTGCTTGGCCAGCGTGCCAATGAGCGGTTTGTACTTGGCCTGGTTCAACGCGAGCGCCAGCTTGCAAAAGTACTGCACGATCTTGACGGTCTTGTCGCGGCCGTCCGTATGGCCGAGCACGGCGAGGACGCGGTCCAGGAACGTCTTGTCGAGCGACTGCAGCAGGTACAGCAGTGGCAGCGCCATGAGCTTGGACTGCGCAGGCGCCTTGAGCACCACGTCGACCGGGTAGATCATCCGACTGCGTTATTTCGAAATGCCAGGACTCTCCCAACGCGCGACGTAATGCCCAGTGGTAACGAAGAGCCTCTCAAACTCGATCGACAGACCCAATCGACATCATCCGTGGTGATAGGCTAATTCCACGCGTCTTTAGCCACCTTGTGACAAAAGCGAGCAGCGGCGACGACCACGACGCCTCGTACGCAGCGCAGTTCCGTGTCGTTCACTTGCAAATGCACTGTGGTAAGACGACGGTGATATGCGCCATGGTTTTGCTGGTATGATGCTCCCGATACTGGCTTCGACCAAGGCTCACCCTTGTTTCGACCTACAGATCCAGTACCATCGAGTGAATCTGGAAACCAGAACACGGGATGCATGGGCGTACGCAACAACCTCAACACGAGGTGGCTGCTTGCTAGCAATATCATCAGCCTCAATCGATGGGCTCTCGCGTAGGGACTGGGAATGCAGGTACTGCCGAAAGACGCTGGCTTGCGCAAGAAACTCGTGCTTGGCTCCACTAGTGCTTGCAGTGACGTTGGCTGCAAGACGCCGATCCAGCAACCCAACTCGGCATCGAGATCGTCACTGACACGTTTCGACAGTGGTGCTAAGTTGCGTTCTTTTAGCTGCCCGTTGAAGTCAACCACCCCGCGCCGAATCTTGGTGGCGACTTGGGTGCACGAGGAATCCCGACGCTCCTCCGATCGGTCCTACTAGTACCTTCTATCAAGGGTACATCGAAATTAGTTCCCTTGGTTCTATCAAGGGTGTTGTTGACCCTTGGTCCTATTCCGTGTCGTTCAAGGCGTGACGTTCGTCGGGTCCCACGTGGAGCATTCGGAAAGCAGCCAGCGATCGTTGATGCTTCATACAATTTACCAGCGCTTTCCCGTCACCACTGCTTGGACCAACAACTGCCAGTTGTTATAATATGACGTCACTGTTTTATATAGAGGGTATTTTACTATCATCGTGCTAGCCTGTCGACTCGATGCACCGAGATGCGCGGGTGGTGGTGGCGCACGTCGTAGGCGTCTTCGTGGCGACTGATTGCGGCGTCGTTCGTCGCCAGGCTTTTGTGGCACTCGGCTACTGTGGCTTGGACCAGGTTTCGAGCGACTTGAAGCACTTGCAGGAGCTCGTCCTCGGCTTTTGTCAACACGGCTTCGGTGGCTTCTGGACTGAGATCGGTGGTCGTTGCTGCAGCGTCGAGTGCGTCGACAACACCACTGTGCATCTTTGATTCCTGGATGCCATCGTCACGGTCAACGTGAAGGCAGCGAATGGTCTCGTCCTTGGCCTCGATCGTCGCTTCGTGAAGAGGCTGGGCGCTGCTGGCGGCCAACTCGGCCACGGCAAGCTGACCCAGTAGTTCGTTGATGCGATCTTGATGAGAGACCAAGGCGTCGTCCTTCGCCGACGCTTCACGGAGCGCCCGTTGCTCGTGACCATCCAGGTCCGCTTGAAGCATCTGGATGTGCTCGCCCATGCTCTGGATGGCGTTGGTAGCCTCACAGAGGCGGACCGCGTTGTCGTCTTCGGTCGCTTTGGATGTTGCAAGGTCGCGCTCGGTCTGGTCGAGCGCGTGCTCGGCGTGTGCGAGGTTGCTGGTCGTGAGCTCGAGCTCGGCTTGGAGCAACGCGATGTGGTCGTCCTTGGTGGCCGCTGCCAGTGTCGACGCAGCGATAGCATCGGTCGCCACTGCGAGGTCGGCGGTCGTGTGGCGTAGCTGCGCTTCGATCTCTGCAGTGTAACGCTCTGCGACACGCGCTTCGTCAGCGATCTTTCGTGTCGTGGCAGCCTCTGCGGTCGTCGTGGCGATCGTGGTCTGGAGACGGTGGTTGAGCTTGGCGAGCGTGTGGAGGTCACGGCGCAGGCCCTCCGATCGAGTGAAGAGGACCTGAGCGCGCTCGAGGCTGGCGTCGCGCTGTGCGGCCAGCGTCGCGAGTTCGGTGGTCAGAGCCATCTCTTTGATCGAGTGCTCTTGGCGCAACGTGGCGTCCGAGGCAGCCAAGGCTTCTTGGTGTTCTTGCTGCAGCGTTGTCGTCACAGCGGCAATGTTGGCTTGGTGCTCGGCACGCAAGGTCGTGGCCAACGCCGCCAACTGCATCTGGCAGTCGGCGCGGAGGCTCTCGAGGCGTTCTTCGTACTCGGTGCGCAAGGCAGCGAGCTCACGGGCGTGGCGTCCAGGGACGGCCATCGCTTCCGGCGCTGTTGCCGCGCGCTGCGTGCGCGTGGAGACAGTCGAGGCGGTGCGCGTCGTACGGGCCGACGTCATCGGTCCTGGCTTGGCCTTGGAGGCCGCGTTCGTCGAAGGGTTCCAGCGAGGTGCTTGCATTTCAATCGTGATCGAAATATGAGCTTCTTCGCTCGCACGTTTAGATTCGCGTCGCTTTTGTACAGGGGAAAGGATATGGGACCCTAGCCCTACTAGATTCTGCGAGTAGAAATCAAAAAGCCAGAGCTCGTCCGCGGTGCTAATCGTCAGTATGAAGTGCACGAGTGGTCACCCCGGTCGTGTCTAGGTCTGCGTCGGAGGCTCGTGTAAATGGTATGCCGGCCATAATCAACTTAAGTACACCTCACTGTCTCCTGCTCCCTCGCACATCAAACTATGGTGCACTCACCTGAGTACCTGGGCTATGATTGTTGTACGGCAGAGCGGAGACTTGACGCATCGATCGACAAAGATGGACGGATGGCGTCTCGTTGAAGCCGGTCACCGTCGCTTCATCTTGGATCGTTGTTTGGTTGGGTGGTCTCGCCCGACGTTTGCCCCGTTTGCCCGCGTCCAAGACACCCTACAAGCTGGCCGTGGCTCCTGTGACAAGAGTAGCATCGGCAATAAGATATTTATGCGGTAAGAACTTGTTTATACTGCTTACCTACGTGGGGACGGACCGAGCTTGTCGGTTGTCTTCAACTCAAACCTTCAACGTCGTTCGCCTTGTTGCTGATTGGTCGGTGCCACGCCGTGGTCGCTGGCGTCTCTTGGCCCATACATTATCCAAGTACTGGATTTCGCCGCCGGAATTTCAACCAATCAGCACTTGGTGAATCTTCGACATCATGCTCCGCCTCGTCCACGCCCGTCGCCTGCGCCTGCCGCCGCTCGTCCGCGCGCACAGCCACGCGACACATGCCCAAAGCGACGACGCCCTCAAGATCACCCGTGTGGGCATGTACGTCAACATTGCGATGGCCGGCTGCAAGGGCGTCGTCGGCTGCGCGGTCAACTCGTCGGCGCTCGTCGCGGACGCCGCCCACTCGCTCTCGGACCTGCTCTCGGACTTTGTGACGTTGTGGAGCGTCAAAGTCGCGCGCCTGCCACCCGACAACAACCACCCGTATGGCTATGGCAAGTTTGAGGCCGTCGGGTCGCTTACGGTCGGCGCGATTTTGACGGGCGCGGGCGTCGCGATGGGCTGGGACGCGGTGCACACACTGCAAGAAGCCAGCGCGCTCGTCACTGCGAACGGAGGCACGTGGAGCTGGGCGGCCGCGCAAGCAGCGCAGGAAGCGCTGTCGGCTGCCGAGCACGCGGGCCACTTGCACAGCGTATTGGATCTCTCGGCGATTACCAGTACGACGTTCACGAACGAGAAGCGATTCGTGACGCCGCAGCATCATAGGTCTCGATACGACGACGCAATGGGGCATTGCCGCCGGCGCAGCGCTCGCCTCCATCGGGGCCAAGGAGGCGTTGTACCATGCGACAGTTCGCGTCGGGAAGCAGGCCAAGAGCAAGGTACGGACAGTCTTTTTACAAACCAAAGGTCCTGTGTAATGTCTTGCGTGCAGGTGCTGATTGCCAATGCGTGGCACCACCGTTCCGATGCTATCTCGTCGTTCATTGCGCTCGGTGCGACGCCGTGGTTATGTGTATCTCATATCCCAACGCAGGCGGTATCTGCGGCACCATGGCCGGCGTTCCCCTTGTCGATCCGCGTACGACGTGCCTATATTGCGTCATCTTTCACGAGTCTGTAGTCGCGGGGGCCATCGTGTCGTGCATGATCGCCAAGACGGGCGTCGACATTTGCTTGGACAGGTGCGGCGGTCTCAATCATCGGTGTATAACCCTCGCATCCAGTGTGCGCGAGCTCACCGACAAGAGCGTTGAAGACGATATCCTCAAGCTCCTTAAAGTCACGGTACGCACAGGAGTGCGCGCGGTCTGCGTTCACCTACCGCCTAGTCGAGTAATGTCGAGGACGTCGTGTCGGTCAGCAACATCCGTGCGCGTCGCATGGGCCCGTATACGCTGGTGGACCTCCGAGCCAACGTACGGTGCTGTCCATGGACCATCTCGAAGCTGCTTGCATAGGTACATGCCCGCACAAGCGTCTCGGCCGCCCAACAGGTGCGCTCGACACCGCCCAATATATATGCCCGACTGCAATATATATACGCGGTAGGTCGCAGCGCGTGTCAAGTCGGAGATTTTGCGCGAGCTGCCCGACGTCTCGGAGGTCCTCGTGCACATTGACGTCGCCCACAGTACGTCGTTTCAACTATCCCATAAGCCGTGGTACGACGTATGCGAGTAGACGAGATGGACACTTCGAATTGGGGCTCGGTGACGCCCGAAGAGACGATGCGGCCGTACCGCGAGATCAAGCGCGATGTGCTCCACGCCGTGCGCAAGATCCATCAAGTCCAAGGCATCACGCACGTCAACGCGCACTGGGTACCGCGCGACAACGTCACGTACGCGTCCGGCGAGACGGGGCTCGGGTATGGTACCTTCCTCGACGTCGCCATCGTCGTGAACCCCGACCTCTCGGTGCGCGACGTGCACAAGATTGCGGCCCGCGCCCGCAAGTACGTTTGCATTTTCTGGCCTTATTTCCCGAAATTGGATGTTTCGTTTTGCAGGGAAATCGAAAGCATCACGTATGTGGTCGAGGCCGACATCCACCTCGAGCTCTACGACGCCGAGACCACCATCGACGACGGCAAGGACTCGCGGCTGCTCGCCGAGGCGCCGTGCTTCCGCGCGTGCCCGCAGGCCACCGCGCTGTAACACAGTTTCAACGTATCGAGTACTATGGATGCCTTTTGATTACGACGCGGCGGGCGGCTTGTTTTGAGGCAAGCTATCGAGGAGGTTCGAGAGCATCTCGACGACCTCGGGCTCGAGCGGGTCGACGTCGTTGGGGTACACGGCGCGCAGGTCGCCCGTCTGGTCGATCACAAATTTGTCAAAGTTCCACCTACACACGGCAACACGTTGTACAGACATGGAGAGCAGCGACGTACGTCGGCGCGACTTCGGACGTGTAGTGCTCCTCCAGCGCGACAAAGAACGGGTGCGCCTCGGGCCCGAGGACCTTGACCTTGGACGTGATCGGGAACTCGACCTTGTACTCGGTGCGGTAGAAAGCCTCGACTTCTTTCTCGTCGCCAGGCTACATGGACGTCGTCCACGAGTCGTGAAGGCGTGCACTACCTCTTGGCCGCCAAAGTCGTTGGAGGGCACGGCGAGGACCGTGAGCCCTCGGTCCTTGAGCTGCGCATAGAGCTTTTGCATCGAGCCGAGCTGCGGCGTGAAGCCACACTTGGACGCCGTGTTGGCGACCTAGTCGATGCATCATGAGCATGCAGCGACAGCGACGGCGATGGGAGTACGAGGATGATGCGATTCTCAAAGAGGCTCGGCGCGAGGAGCTCGTCGCTGTCGATGGCTTTAAACTGCTTGAGCTTGCGCTGGAAGACCTTCTTGTTCTCGCCGTACGCGCGCGAGCCCACGGCGCGGCGCAGCGTGACCACTCGGCGAAACATGGCAAAAAATCAAACTCGAAATCTCAACAGGCCGACTAAACCGTTGCGGTTAGTCGACTAAACCTGCCAACCCAGCACAAGTCGCCACACCTTTGCCATTCATGAGTACGCTGCATATCCCAACTCTGATCTGCGTACAAGGAGGACACCAGGCTTAGCGACAGAGATGAGTCGTCGCCCGACCCATTGGAGCACCATGTCACCTTCTATTATGCGAGCGATCGCTTGTTTAGTTAGTCGCTCCCAGTTGACCTTTCACCGGCCTGGAGCATTTACCTCTTACTATTGATGTACTTCGATAAATGATATTTCAATATATCAGATGTAGAAAGTAACCTCCGAAACATGATGCTTGTCAACTTGAACCAGAACCAGAACCTGACCAGAACCGAGGCGGGTCATGGAATCGGCTTCGTCGGAGCTGACACGCGGTAGGAAGCGTTCGGGCTTTCTTTCATATGTCGTCGATGTATCTTACGTATGTACTGCACTGCACGATCCACATTCGCATGTGGCGTTCTCGAACGACGACACGACTGCCTTCGACGTCCTTGATCGTTGCGAGCTCGTTCGTGGCGCTTCGGTTGTCTGTTATCCCTTCACGCGTTCTTGTATCAGCTTCTGCACCGCTGTTCACACGACTGCGACCAAGTCGTAGCAGTAGAATCCAACGCGCGGATCGAGAAATTGCAGGTACATGTATTTATCCTACTACAGTGGACTAGATCTCGCACGACTGCGAGTAGCGGCCACCATAGTCGCTGCTCGTGTCACTAAACGAGTCGGTCGAGTACGCAACGTCCGACGTGGCCGAGTGGAGACTGTAATGCGAGTCGAAAATGTCCGAGTCCGTCTGGAACGACGGGATGTGCGAGTAGCCGCTGTCGGCCGAGAAGGACGCTTCTTGCGCGGCCGACGGGTACTCGTAGTGCTGCATCGAGTACATGGGCGGCGGCGGCGGCGGCTCTACGACGTCGAACGCCGGGTTCCCGAACGGCGTCATGTCGTACTGCGCCGTGAGCCGCCCCGAGAGCGTCACGACGTTGTGCCCTGACCGGAACGTATCGAGCGGACTTAGCCTTTTGTCGAACGCGTAGTCGCTCACGCGCTGCCGGCTCTTGGCAAGCGTGTACGAAATCCCAATAGCGAGCACCATGACAAGGCCGCAGCCGCCACCAATGAGCGCATACGTCATCGTGTCGCTGTCATCGGACGCTGCAGCGACCGCGGTCGTCGGCGCCGGGCGCGTCGTGCCGCGTGTTGTTGGCGCCGGCGTCGGCTCTTCGGTCGTCGGCTCGGGCGTCAGGGTCGTCGGTGGCGGTGTCGGTGTCGTCGTCGGCGGCGCTGTGGTCGTTGATGCCGGCGTCGTTGTACTAGGCGGTGCCGTCGTGGTTGGCACCGGTGTTGTGGTCGGGGCCGCCGTCGTCGTCGGCACGGGCGTCTCGGTGGTCGGCGCCGGCGTCGTCGTCACCGGCACGATCGACGGTGCACTCGTGTTGGTCTTGGCCTCGGCCAGTACCAGCAGCACGACGACAAAGGCAAGGAAGGCCCGCATCGATGCACTATAAAACGCTGGTGGAAATGAAATATAAGCACGCGCCGGCGAAGGTGCGGCGAACCTGCGCAGCTGCCGCCGACAGACCCTGCGTAGTAACATGAGATCCCACTTTCGTAACACCCTCCCGCTGCAACTCGTCGCCGTGGACGACGTCCACCAAGTCGAAGGACCACGACTGCTGGAGACAAGAGAAGAAAACAAGGTCATCGGCGCTGCATGTCGTCGTCGCCGTCGCCGTCGCAATCGACCGCAGTCGCCCGACAACGTGCAAGTATCTTTGACAGTACGTGTCACCGCCACATGCCCTTTTTACGCAGCCACTCGCTTGGTCGCCGCCCCGTTTGAATGCCGCTGGCGTGCATCCCACGGTGCAAAGAGGCGGAGAATGGGTCGAGCTCATGGCAGCCAGCACTAGTAGGTACGCTGTGCTTGGCATCGCGGGGACCAAGGGTCTGCCGACTGCAAACGCAAAGCCAGCTCTCGTCTCTATCTTTCGCGATCAGACGAGATCTGTTGACCCGACACGACGACGACCCGCGTTGATTGTGGCTGTCACGTGGGATATCACTGTCTACGGTGCCAATCTCGCTGGCTGGCCTGTCTCGCTCGACTGCACGACTCATGCGAGCGAGGTGGTGGCCCTCCGAGACCGCTCGTCGCGTTCGTGTTCGTGTACTCACTCGTATCGACGAGGCGTGTAATACATCATGAGTCGTTTAATTTTAGTGGGCAGTCGTCTACTTTTTACTAACACGGCGCTTCTTGGCGAGGCCAGCGCCGCCGCCCTTGAGGAGCTCGCCGCCCTTGCGCACCTGTTGGTTGAAGGTCGCGTTCTGCTGCTCCATCCACGACCGGATCTCCTTTTGCTTGGCGTTCTTCTCGGCCTGCCAGGTGGAGCGCTCTTCTTCGCGCTGGCGCGCGAGGAACGCCGCGTCGCGGCGAAGCTCGCGGCTCGCGCCCTTGCGTTCGCGCTTGACCTGGCGCTGGAGCTGCTTGAGCTCGGCCTTGTCGCGGTCCGCTGTCTTGTCCTTGCGCATCGCGTAGTTTTCGTCAAACTTGGGCACGAACGACGGGAGCACCGTCGGCGCAAACGTCTGAAGGCGCAGCGGCTTGCGCGCTTTGAGCGAGCTCTTCATGGTCGTCTGCAGCAGCGTCAGCGTGGCTTCGAGGCGGCCGTTGGTCGCCGGAAGGTGCTTGGCGTGAATGGCCTTGAGGAGGCGCTCGATCGGCGCGAGCAGCTCGTTGACCGACGGCAGCGCCGCATACTGCGTGGCCGCGACATCGATAAAGCTCAAGAGACCGTGGAAGAGCGCCGCCGACATGGCTTCATTGGGCAGCGGTGTGTGCAGCGGGAGAAGCGGGAACGCATCCTCCTTGTGATCCTCGACCCACGCGTTGATGGCGTCAACCCACCACGTGCTCTCGGGGTTGCCGAGGAGCTCGACGAGCGACGTGAGCGCGTGCAGCACTTCGGGCGAGAACTTTTTCTTGTCGCGCGACATGTGCAAACTCAAGCCGACGCAGAAGAGCGCACTGCGCACATCGCTGGCCGACGCGATCGGCGCCTTCGCCAGCGCCTGCCCGACAAGGAGCTCGATCGGCGACAAGACGTTGTGGCGGAGATCCGTGACGGGGAACACCGAGAGCGCGACGCGCAGAAGGAGCAAGTCGCGCATGTCGGGCCACGGCATCGTCTTCTTCTTCAAAAGCTTCTTCTGGAGCGCCGTGAGGTAGTCACGGAAGAGCGCGCCGGCGTGGTCGGGAAACTCCTGCGCCGTGTCGAAAAGGTGACCCGCCAGGTGGTGCAAGTCGGCGCCAAACTTGTCGTAATTGGCAGCGTACTTGAGGAACTGGCGCAAAAGCACCGCAAAGAGCTTCTTCATGAGGCCCTGGTTGGCCGCGCTGAGCTTGGGCGAGTAGTACTTGCGGAGGCGCTCAATGATCGTGTTGCGGTCGGTCGCGTTGTGCGCGTACTTGGAGAAGAGCGCCGCGAGCTCCGCCGGCGTCGTCGGGCACTCGAGCACGTACGGGATCTCCTTGGCTGCGTCCGCGCGCTTCTTCTGCGCACGGGCAAGGGCTTCTTCGTCGACCTCTTCCTCTTCCTCGTCGTCATCCTCGTCATCTTCGTCGTTGTCATCTTCGTCGTCCTCTTCCAGATCGGCGTCCTCGTCCTCATCGCCGTCGTCGTCATCTTCTTCCTCTTCGTCGCCGCCCTCGGCCTCGTCTTGACCGTCTTCCTGGTCGTTCTCGGCGTCGCTGTCGTTGGTTTGGTTGAACTGCTGGTCGATCTGATAGTCGTCGTTGAGCGAGTCGTCCGTGGCCGGCGGCGGGCGCATGAGAATGAACTTGGGCTGCTTCTTGCCGCCCTTCTTGGTGGCCTTCTTGGCCGTCTCGGTATCGCTCTCGTCTTCGCCGTTCATGCGCGCGATACGCTGCTTCTCGAGCTCGGCGAGCTTCTCGTGCTCCTTCTTGGCGATCTCTTCGGGCGTGAGCTTGCGCTCGGTGGCCTTGGCCTTGGCTTCCATCGAGAGGAGGCGCGCCATCTTATCGAATTCATCAAGCTCGCCGCGCGCTTCCGGCGTCCGGTCGGCCTTCTTCGGGCGGAACGACAGCATCTTTTGAAAGTCCGCAAACTCGGCGTCCAGGACCTCGGTCGTCTCGTCCTGGGTGGCCTTGTTCTTCTGCTTCTCGGCCTTGTACATCTTGCTCTTCATCATGACCTCGTGCATGATCTCTTCGTGCGTCTTCTTCTTCGCGGGTTCGTCGCCAGTCGCAGCGCTGCCGCCGCCAAAGTGGAGCTGGTTCACGAGTTCGCGCCCGAGCTTGTTCTCGAACGCACGGTCTTCCTCGTCCATGTCACTGCCCTCGTGGCCGTCAAAGGCGTCGTAGTCGTCAATCTTTTGGCCGCGATGCGTCAGAAACTCCTCTTCGTTGTCGTTGGTCTCATCCGCGAGGTTGAACTTGGACGCGTTGCGCTGCTGCTGGTACTGCTTCTTGCGCTCGGTCTGAAAGCGCGCGAGCATCTTGTCTTCGAGCGACATGTCTTCGCTCTGCTCGCCAAGACGGCGATCCTTGAACTCGTTGTTCTTCTTGCGCGTCTGGAACTGCTTGAGCAGCGTTTGACGGCGGCGGTCCTCGGCCTGCGCGCGGGCTTGCGCCACGTTGCGACCTTGGCCCTTGATGCGCTTCCCGAGCACCTCGTACTTGGAGCGCGAGTTGGACTGCACGTCAAAGGCGTTGCTCTTGCCGCGGCCAAAGGTCTTGGCGCCGGCCTTGGCCTTGGCGCCGACGCGGCCGACCGCTTGCATGCGCTCCTTCTTCCCCATCGTATTTCTTGGGTTCAAACTGCAATTACCAGTCGCCGTGAAAAATCAAAACCCACCAACCATTGCAAGGCTCGCGTTTCTGCCAATCGCATGGCGCCAAAAAACAGCCAATCACCGGCGACGTTAGATCCTCCGGATAATACACCAATCTATGCGGATGTTCAGATCGAAGATGGCCGCGACGTGGCGAGTTGGGCGGACGAACGACTCGTCGGGCGTCGCAGCCGCGCTGCGCCCGAGCACCGGGTACCGCGAAGACATGATCAAGCGGGGCGTGGCGCCTCGCGACTTTGTCAAGGAGAACCGCAAGCGCATCCAGCTCAAGCAAGCCGAGCAGGCGCAGAAGAAGGCGGACGACGAGGCCAAGGCGACGGCCAAGCGCGCGGTCGATGGCTTCAAGATCAAGCGCTTTGAGCGCGCAGCCTCGCGCGTTGGCAGCTACGACGGAGACGACCGCTCGAGCACGAGCAGCCAGCACACGCGGTATACGACCCATCGACGCGAGTACAACAAGGCGCGCGTCCCGACCCAAGACGAGCTCCGCGAGCGCGACCGGCAGCTCAAGGAGGCCCAGAACCGGCAAACCGTCGACTTTATCAACTCGAACGCATGGGAGGTCATCCAAAAAGCGCCCAAGAAACCTACGCCGACGGCCGCCGAGCTCTGGGACATCGAGTCGAGGCGACACCACAGCTTTGGCCAAGTCCCGAGCTACCTCCGCGAGCGCAAGGCCGCGGTACGCCTTCCCGATACATCTCGCGTGGCCGATGTACATGGTAATAGTGGGCGAAAGAAGAAGAGGAGCGCCGCATGAACCTTCCCGACCCCGACTGTCCCCACGGGATGGTGCTCATGGCCGACGACGACCGCTTGGACACATTGGCGACGCTGCGCGAGAATATCCTTACGACGATACCCCTGCATTTGCACTAGTAACTCTGTCCACTTTTGAAACCTTGACCACGCAAAACGCTATGAAGCCGCGCGCCGACAGATGAACCAGCTGCCGCTGCGGATTGAGACTCCGAGCCAGATCCGCCGCAAGCAAGCGCTCGAGACCAAAATGCAAGAAATCGAGGACGCGATCAAGGTCTTTGATAAGCCCAAGGTCTTCATGCTGCCGGAAGCGCTCTCCGAGTCGACGACCAGCGCCTAACGCCCTATCCAATACTATCCAATACTATCCAATTCAACCCAATCCAATTCAATACTATCATGCCGCACCTGCGTATCGCAAAACCAATGCGACACCAACAAAAGGATAGCTGATGCATTCTTACTCGAGCGTATCGTACACCTTTTGCACGTCGGCCGGGTCAATGGTTGCAAACGTGGCCTCGTCGACAAGCGACCGGCCTTTCGACTTGAGCTTGAGGTTGTAGCGGTGCCACTCGGAGCGGAAGTGTTCGCGGTACTTGGCCGTGTCGGGAAAGTCGCCACCGCACGTGCTGCAGGGCCGACCCGCCTTCTTCTCCGTGATGGGCGCCGCTGCGGCCACGACAGCCGGCGCGGCCGGCGGGAGATCGAGTGCGAGGCGTTCCGTCTTTTTGGAGATTTCGTCGTCGATCGTGTGCTCGCCTTGCTCGTGGCAGCTCAGGTCGAGCACTTCCAGCGACCGCGACGCATCTACAGAGCACGCTTCTTCGTTGCTATCGCGATAAGAGACCATACCCTTCTTGCCCTTGGGGTTGACAAACGTGTCCAAGTGACGGTAGGCACTCGGGTCGATCTGGCAAATGATGCGCAGCACGTCTCCGCCACGCTGCTCCATGATGATGGCTTCCTGCTCGGCGAGAAAGTCCTTGGTGGCTTGGCCGTCTAGTACGTCTCGTAGATGAATACACAGCCATTCTGACGGACGCAGGTGGTTTGGTTGTACCGGCCGGGGCGACCGTCACCTGGACCTTCATCTTGGCGCGCGTGATGGGCATGTGCGCCTTGAGCTTCTTGATCACTTCAAGCGCCTACATGTCAGCCATAGCGTCGAGTCCTTAGAGCCCCGTATATGCACCTGCTGCTTGGCCGATCGGTTCGGGATGAGCGCGTAGTGCATCTCCTTCATGGCGCGTTCAATGACGGTAAACTAATCGGGTGGATGATCAATATTCGCATGCCAACATGAGATTCAAGGGGGTCGTCGCTACCGGGTACGGGCGGTTGGACTCGGGGTTGACGCACTTTTCGGCCACGATCGTCGCAATCTCCTGGTACACGCTACAATATCCTCCGATGATGCCGCCGCCTCGCATCCATGGTATACCTTTCGTTGAAGGCGGCGCGCTCGCCATCCGAGACTTGGAGCTCGCCCTTCTCGATGATGATCTTGGCGATTTCAATCACATCTTCCGTGCCAAAGACCGCCATGAGGTTGTTGGCCTTCTTGCCCTACGCGCAGTGCATACAGCGCTTCTCCTCGTCGCGGAGATGGCGTACCCGCGAGACGTTTTCAAAGATCGACTGCGACTGGAGGACTTCGTCCAAGCTGGTTTCGACGCCGTTGCGCCAGTTGACGACCTTGTTCTTGTAGCACGCGACCTCAAAGCGCTGGCCGTTCTTCTTGAGGCGCACGACGGCCACGTTCGTGAGGCGGACCTGCGAGATCGGCGTCATCACGCGCTGGCTCTGGTGCATGAAGCCCATGGTCGGTCGGTTGGCTGGCTCGGTGGCTTGGTTGAAAATGCGCCTCCGTCTTTGTATGGCCACGGAACGACCTACACTCGCACATAAAGACGTTGGACCTATAGGTTAAACTGGGGTCAGATCCTGGAGGACATGCCCTTTGATCGTACGCATTTGTAACCAGCGAATGCACGCGCGCAGGATGCCAGCTCTGTACCCTGATTGAAAAAGCAGTGCGTACACGCTAGGTGGACACGAGATGAGGCGACTCGAGCGACGGTATGCACCTTGAGCAAATGGCCACCCGTCGACGAGACCTACATTCTGTACTTTAACGCGCGTTAAAGCCTCGCCCATTGCGCCGGCTGCGAAATTTCCATCGACTCGAAGCAATGGCGGTAAGGCCGACGCGGCCATGACCCTTGCGCGTGACGAGAACGCGCTCGTGTAGGACGCACCGAAGAAGGGCGTGGCCAACGTCACGCGGCGAACATGGGACAAGGCGTTCTTCGCGCAGAAGGCGGCGCTGCGCGCCAACGGCCTCCTCGAGGAAGAGGTCAAGTCGACCAAGCAAATCTCGGAGCGCGAAGAGTTCCAAGCCGCGCCGGATGGCGCCGCGGGGCCCATTGGCTCGTCGCGCGCCTTCCTCAAGGTATGTCCTGGCACTACAATTGGCGAGCGACCATGCGATTCCGGCGTAGGCGCGAACCAAGCAGGTCGAGCTGGAAGAGAATGTGGGGAAGACCGTCGTGCTCAAGGCCGACGAGACGATGAAGGGCACGGGCTACTACTGCGAGGTATGCGAGGTCACGCTCAAGGACTCGGTCTCGTACATCGACCACATCAACGGCAAACGCCGTACGTCAACCTCTCGATCATCATGTTGGATTCCCATGGATGCGAGTAGATCTGCGACGACTCGGCTTCTCCATGCGTGTTGAAAAGGTCGGTGTTGAGGCAGTCAAGGAGCGCCTCAACCTCGCCTCCAAGCGCAAGTGGGACCCGACGGTCACCAAGAAGCCGGACGCCGTCGAAGGTAGACTGGCATATCCGCGTATATGATCCTGCATCTTCGATTAGCGTACGAGAAGAAGCTGGCCGAGATGGATGCGGAAGCCAACCTCAAGAAGAAGCAAAAGAAGGAGGCGAAGAAGCAGCAGAAAGAAGAGGCACCGGTCAACGTTTTTGCGACCGAAGACGAGGAAGCCATGATGGCCATGATGGGCTTCGGCGGGTTTCAGTCGACCAAGAAAAAGTAAAGCGTCGTCGTAATATACAGCATCAATTTCGTATGGACTCACTCGTCGTCTACGAACTACACGTCGGCAAGGGACATTGTTGTCTTGGCGACCCAGTATTCACGGTTCCGGTGCAAGTTGTCGATGCAACCGCCAAGGCCGTCGAGGAAGTCGTGCATGATGCTCCAGAGCGGAAACACACACGAGTCGATGAACGCAATGTTCATGCGTGCGTGGTCCGGCGAGTGCGCCTTCGTGCTCATAAAGCCACTCGGCGAGAGCCCGAGGGCCACCTCTTCCTTGTACTGCTCGTTGAACTCGACCATGAGCGCCTCGGTCCAGAGCGTGTGCACGGGCGTCGGCAACGTCGGGTTGGCAATGTCGGCGCTGTGCACGATCGCATTCAGTAGCAGTTCCTTGTCGGCCTCCGCGTCATGCTGGAAGACGCCGTGCTTGAAGCGTTCGTGGAGCATCTTGACCATGTTGCTATGGACGTGCATGTCGGTCGCCAAGATGATGCGGATGATGCTCTTCCGAACGTAAATGTAGTCGGGGCTCGAGAGATGTTCGAGGATGTTGTGGCCCGGTCGCCGCAACGTGTCAAAGCAGTGGGCCGCGTGCATGTTCTCGAGAACGCTCTGGTCGTTGTAGAGCATCGCGGTCGACGTCTTGGCCTTGATATGAAACTCGTTGGTGCGACCGTTGTGGTTCATGTCGTGGCAGACCGCGCCAATGAAGAGCGCGAGCACATCCCGCGTATCGAGCAGCGCGTGCATCGCCCTCGTCGACGTCGCTTGCGCCAGGACGACGAGGAAGGTCATGTGCAGCGTCGTGAACGCGTGGTTAAAGTTGTGGTACGCCACCGTGCGGTACTGGTCCCGCACCGCGATCATGAAGCGCTGGAACGTTTTCGTGGGCATCTGATAGTGCGCGAGGAGATGGAAGCCGTCAAACATCGCATGGGCGTGCACCAAGAGCAGCTCGCGGGATAGGGTAAACGGGTTTAATCCCCAGTCGACCACGTTTCGGAGCTTGTCGAGATCGGGCGACATGGCCATGAGGGCGGCAGCTGGCTCGGACGTTGCTGTCTCTTGCGGCGGTGGCGATGGCGGTCGCGACGTACTTGGCGTTGGACGGTGCACGTCGGTGAATTGCGCCAGAAAATCCGACGTGACTTTTTGAAGCTCCGTCTCCGGGTGCTCTTCGTCATGGAAGAGGAGCTCCAGCGACCGGCGCTCAATGACCTACAGAGGTACATGAGTGATATGCCATGGGATAGCGAGGGCGTACCGACGAGATCTCGACGCACACCGCCTTCATGAGGGCCACGTCGTCGCTCATAAAGCTGGGTGCGAGGCGCTTGTTGATGACTTGAACCACGGCAATGATCTTCTCGCGCGAGACGACGGGCACGCAGAGAAGCGATCGCGTCGTGATACCAAGGAGTGCATCCATAGACGCGTCAAACTTGGGGTGCGGCGTGGCTTCTGAGAGAATGATGGGGGCGCCGGTCGCGGCCACTTCGCCGGGAATGCCCATGTCCATGCTCAGGACGCACCCCTTGGTCTTTTCGCTGCCCCGACTCGTGAGCGTGTTTTCAATGTGGTTGACGAGAAAGAGCATCGCATGCTCCGCGTCCAGAATCTACGTGGCGCGACGTGAGGAATACGAATCGTACCATCCAGTACCTCGCACGTGGCCGTGATGACTTCCTCAAAGACCGAGCTCACGTCCGTGCACGACGAGACGACGTGCAGCATTTTGATGAGCGCGTCGCTGCGACGGACGGCCGCCCGCGCCGAAATCGCATTGTTGAGCGCGATCGCCAAGTAGTAGGCGATGCCGATCGCGAGGGCTTCGTCCTCTTGGTCAAAGTAGTTTTTCGGGGCCTCATCACTCTTGCCGAGCATTTCGACGACCCCCAGCACATAGCCCGTCGCGTCTTTGATGGGCACGACCAAGAGCGCCCGCACGTCCTTGTACTCGGCGCGCCACGTCAGCGTCCAGCGCGTGTCGTGCTGCACGTCGTGGCTGTTGCAGACCTCCCCCGTCACGACCGTGTGCCCCAAGAGACCTACATATCACATCGTCAACGTTCAGATTGCACTTTGCGCGATCAATGGAACCGTCGAGCATCGGGCGGCGGCGCCGGTCCCCGTCAAAGAGCACGAGTTCGTTCTTCTCGCGGTCTGTGACGTAAATGCGAACGTCGGCAGCCCCCATGGGGCGCTGGACGGTCGCTACGATCGCACGCACGATGACCTGAATGTCCGACTCTTGAAAGAGGATCGTCGAGAGATCGAGGAGCGTCTGCGCCTTCACCTGCGCCTTGGAAATGGACGCGCGGAGGTCGGCGTTGTAGATTTCGACACCCAAGTGCGTGCAAATGGTGCTGCAGATGGCTTGGTCGACCGCGGTGAAGCTCGGTTCGTGACGACGGTTGAGGAGCTGGAGCACGCCATTGACGCGACCGTCGGGCCCAATGATGGGCGTGCACAGCAGCGTCGAGATATCCAAGCCCGACGTGTTGTCTTGGCCGGGGCTCCAGCGCGGGTCGGCGCTCGCGTCAAGGAGGTGCATGGCTTTGCCCGCCTCGGCGACCGCGCCCACGATGCCGTCGCCGACGCGGATGCTCATGGACGGCTGGTTGCGGAAGATGCGCGAGAAGAGCGAGTTGGAGGGTACGTCGAGCGCGTAGACGCGGCAGTGGTCGATCGCCATCATGCGGTGGAGGAGCCCCACGGCGCGCTGCAGCACAGCGTCCGACGACAAGAGATCAGTGCTACTGGTCGTCGTCGCCATGGCCGACGGAAACGACGTGCGGCGCTCAACATGCTCAAACGAAATGTTGAGCGACGTGACGATCTGGGCCACGAAGCGGCTGTAGACCGTCAAGTCGTTGGGCTCGTCGGTCGCGCGCTGGAGCGAGTCGACCCAGTCCTGGATCGTCTGGATGCCTTTGCGATAGTTGAAGATCTCGGCGACCGCGACGACACGCGATCCGTTTTGCAGCGGCATGCACAAGTACGACTAGATGATAATGCTACAGATGAGCAGCATATCGTCGAGAGAGGTCGAGGAAGCGCACCCGCACGTCGAGCCCGTCGAGCCCGTCCTTTTCGTCGATAAAGAGGTCCGAAGTGACGGCCGTATGGACGTGCATCGGGGTCCCTTGCTCAAACGCGCGGTGGAGGAGGCCATTTTGAATGCGCGTGGACGGATACACGCTCTGTCCGTCAAATTCGAGAACTCCGCGCGTGGTCGCAATGTATATGTAGCAGTTTTCGGCGTCCATGAACGACACAAATTGCTCCTACGCGACGACGAATGTGAGCTCAAATCGATAGACGTCGTGCGGACTCGAATCTTGAGGAGGACGTCGATGAAGTCGTCTTGGCTCGTAAAGAGCGAGTCCATAAGCGACTGCTGCGCCTTGCGGAACTTGCGGTGGTTGTTCTCGCCGACGGTCTTGCGCAGCCTACGACGTGTGAGGCCAACGCGGAAACGAACGAAGGGTCGCACCAGCGCGAGAGCAAGACGTGTCCCTGGATCATTTTCCAGCGACGGCGGGCGACGAGCCGCGCGTCGTTCGTGTTCTTGGTCTTCTTGAGCACGGGGTGGTCGAGGTCCGTCGTCGGAGGGCGCTTTCGCGCCGAGTTGGGCATCTGGAAGACCTTGGCGCTCATGCAGCAGCCGTGATCCCGCCTTTTGTACGACTTTATAAACGGCGAGCTAACAATACACGCGGTTTCGTTGAAACCCCCGCAGCGTGGCCATCCGATCACGAAGCGTCTTTTCACGCTTTGTCGAGAAAGGCGATAGCGTCGCAAACAAGCGAGAGGACGCGCAGCTGCAGTGTGGACGATGGTCTGCGGACGATCTTTATTTTGAAAAGAAGGATAATATCGGCAGCGCTGGTTCGTTGATGTTTGGCGCCAATTGCCGGCCGAGATTTTTGACATGGTACACAGGAAGCAGAAACACACAAGGTCGTCGCCACAGCTAGTGTAGCTTGTGCTGCAAATTAAAACCATGCGTTCGCTCCGACATTGTCGCCGCAACCGTGCTCGCCGACGTGATACCGAGTGCTCGACGGTCGTGCCCAAGGCCTGTCGTGAACCGCCACAGCGCACGCGCCTGTACACAGACGACAACCGGCCATAGATTCCGTTCGCAGACCAGTATTTCGAAAACAGCTCGAGCTCGAAGAAAGTTCATTATCGCTCGCTATCGAATGAGTTCTGCTCCATCACGTGGCACCATCCAATCGACTCCAACGGCCCAGCCTACGGCAAGAAAATGAGTAAAAGTTTCCGTAACAACTCCAAATCAAGAAAATATGCCCGTGGGTGAAGGCAAGGGAGACAATGGATTCATGAATGTTGAAATCTTGACACTGACATACCCTCCACCGGATACATTCTTGAGGCGCACATGCACGCTGCAGAATCCGCGAGCAGCCTCGCATTGCCTCGCTTGGATGGAAGTGCATCATAAAAAACAGGACTTGGCTAGAAACTAGCGATGGATCGCTAGGAGTGGGCGGCGCTGGCGACTCTCCAACGCGGCTTACCTCTCCACCCCGCAACGAGCGAAGTGCGTCGGATGATATCATCGTAGTCGGGCGTTTCGTCGACGTCTGTTCGCATTCAAGATAACGGCCACGTCGCAAGGAGCGCGGGGGAAAGTTGCAGGCGATGGAGGCGCCATCACCCGCTGACGTCAAGCTGGTGCTGCCGCGAGGTGCGAGGTGCTTTGTACATGGTTGTACACACTCTTTCTGTCTAGTCTTCTCTGAGACCAAGAGCGTCGAGAAGGGGCTGTCACCAGCCAAGCCCAATGACGCCACCAAGACACCGCGCTCGAGCAATGCTGCAAAAGTCGACGACGTACGCTTGAGCTCGGAAAAGTCGAGCGAGGTGAGCCCCGCGCGCCCCGCCGGCCATTTGCCCGAGAACAGCCCACCGCGCCGGTTTTCAGTCACGCGCGGTGACCCGCCACGGACCTCGATACTCACGCGTAGCGACGACATCAACACAGATCGACCGAGCTCCCCGAGCCCACCCAAGGCGACGACTTTGAACGGCCAAGTCGCAAGTTCGAGCCAACTCCAACGACTGCCGTCCGTCCGTGGCGTCCTCAGCGAGAAAAGTCCTGTCAAGGATCCGAGTCCAAAGCGCAAGCCACCAACGCACATCCAGCACCTTGATCCTTCGGTACGATGCGGGTGAACCAATGGACTCTGACGCCCCGGGTAGGGGGATACATTGCCCATCAAAGACGGACTTGGCCTCTTGGCACTGGCAGCGAAACGCAAGAGCACGCGCAATCTGGTGCGAACCAAGACGGACGACGATAGCAACGAGAGTCACACACTCAGCCATTTGAGACCACTTACGTCGGTCCCACCGCTGCTACTGTAGTCGCCATGTCTCCCGACGTAGTAACGACACCATACGCGTAGCCATGGCCGCATGAGTGCGTCGCCGTCGCGACACAAGCTGGAGCTCCAGCAGCGCCTCACCGACATTGAGCACTGTCAGCTGCCCGTACTTCCCTCCTCCCGTATGTGTCGTTTCGACAATGCGCGTTCGTTGAGCCGCCTTCTGTAGCCGAGTCGGGCGCCTTTGACGAGAAGCGGCTCTCGGAGATGAGTCCGAGTGAGTACGCCGAGTCCTGTGCGGCATTGGGTCTGCCCGATCTCCGACGCCACCACGCCAAGCTCTTCAAGCTCGTGCGGCAGTACCAGACACTCTTCTCGGTCGCGAGCTCGATATCCGTCGAGATTGACTCGGGCGAAGCGCTCTCGCGCATCATTGAAGGCACATACGAAGTGCTTGAAGTCGACCACGTCGCGCTCTTCCTCATCAACCACAAGAAGGAGACGCTGCACATGTGCGTCTCGCGTTCGTCGCGCAGCACCGAGTACCCGCTGCACAAAGGCACTACTCCTTTGGACCTGGCATGGGATCGAACCATATATCGGCTTTGTAGGGGTCTTGGGTCACGTGGCCAAGTCTGCCGAGTCCGTCATCATCCAAGACGTCGCGAGCGACGAGCGCTGTGATATGGACGCGGACAAGTACCTCGTCGACGGAAGCCTTGCGCGCAATCTGCTCTGCGTGCCGATCTTAGACCCGTCCAAAGTGCCCGTCGCCGTCCTTCGCTGCGCCAACAAGGCGCATGACTTTACGCCAAGCGACTGCATGAGCCTCGAGCTCATCGCGTCCATTGCAGGACATACGCTGCACAAGCTCGAGCTGTACGAAGTCGCCATGCTTGCGGGACGAAAAGCATCGGCGATGCTCGAGGTCGTTCGTGCGATCGCTACCGAGTGTACAGAATTGTCTCGAAGCCACGATATTCTGATGCTTATGGTATTAGGCAATGACCTGAATGGGATGGTGCACAAGATTATTGACGTGGCGAAGACAGCGCTGCACTGCGACAAGGTGTCGCTCTTCCTTTGCCACCGCGAGAAGCGCGAGCTTGTGTGCTGCGTCTCGTACGATCCGGTGCTTCGACGCATGGTCATTCCGTACGGCGTCGGCATCGCTGGCTACGTGGCGGGCACGGTACCCACCGCCGCAATGTCGTGGAAGGCTCTAATTGACGTAGGGACAAGTGCTGCGCATTGACAACTGCTACGACGACCCGCGCTTCAACGCCGCGACGGACCGCAAGATGGACTACAAGACGATTTCGGCGCTCTGCGCACCGGTGATTACGCACGACAACGACATGGTCGCCGTCATCCAAGCCATCAACAAGCTCACGGTGCCGTCCACCGAGCACCCGCCGGCCTTGGACACGATTGTTCCGTTCCAAGAC